TTTATCACATTGGGCTGTCCGGAAAGTAATTTCGTTTTTTTTCTTCTTCATTTTATTGTATTTTTAATAGCCAACTCTTCATTGTTACGCATCGAATCAGTCATCGTTGATACAGCAACAGAAAACAATTAGAATTGATTCATAGAAAAAGTGAAATATTCCAAAAAAAACATGAGACCTCATACAAGTATGGTAACTGTGGAGATAGCAGCTATTGACCAGGTCAAATTTCATCTATGAAAAGGGACCCCATCATAGAATAGAGCTAACATGTCCTATATACTAGTGCATTGGAATTATATCGGTAGATGCACTATAGTACTCCCCCACCACAATTATATCTAAGACAGAATTCAATGAATTGATACCACTAGTTCATTCATTTCTGTTTTGTAAGAAGCCGGGAGAGCTGTATTGAGATCACCGTACTTTTGAGTGCTGATAGCGAGAGGTGTATTTAGTTCACTGTCGTGGTCGCTCCTGTGTTGTCTTTAGCTGCCGAGTGTATACAGGCCAACGTTGTGTGTGATAGAGATGTGTGTGATGAGTAGCAACAGTGCAAGGAGGCGGATGATATCGCAGTCACAAGTAGCATGTCAAGTGTTCAATAGGGGATCATCCATCGAAATAGGCGTGTTCAAATAGAAGTGGGAGTTCCTGACAAGGTAGGCGTGTTCACATCTCGTCCGAAGTTCGCCAACGTGAGGAAAGTAGTTATCGACAATGTCAACCTTCATCAATGAAAAGGCACCCCAACATAGAATCGAGTTAACATGTCTTATATACTAGTGAATTGGAATTGTATTGGTAAATACATTACAGTAACGCACCACAAACATCCTTATCTTAGCTTGGATGGCACATAAAATCACAACCACGATATTCCTTACATCTGGTTACACCTAGTTTGATTCATTTATCAGTATTGCATGGCCATCGAAAACTTTCACATCCTTAATGAGTCATCCATGTAACTTTTTTTTTGATACACGGGGACATCATCAAAATCTATAAAAGTAACAAGCAGTTTAATAAAAAAGAAAATATTTACACATTATCTCAAATGTTTAGAAAATTTCTTTCCCGTTTATCTCAAAATTTTGCTATTTGACAGTTGCTGCCTGATAAAAACAACTTTTATTTATCTAATGTAAAATTGCAAGAAAACTATGCGGATGTTTAAACGAACGGAAACTTTTTCTCCTACTCTTTATAAAAATTCAATGTCAAGAAAAGAATATCACTGCAATGTATAATGTCTGTACCTAAAAATAGAACTCCAGAAGAAGAAAAAAAAAACTCTTGAGTACACCTATGATATGATCGGCTGTTTTGTCACCGGGATTTTGGCTGTTTTCCAAAAGAAATTATGAGAGGAAGTTATGAAAAGGAATAAAATGCTTTCAGTTTTAAAAAGTAAACAAAAATTCTAAAGCTAACTGTAAGCTTGAAAATATAAAACGCACCGTCAAACATGAAGAGAGAATTTTATTTTTTTTCTCGTGTGTTTTGCAATAGTGAAGAAAAATGAACAGGCGATTTCGCATGCATTATCGCTTTCTTGATGTTCTTTCTTTTCCATGGAATTTTTATGTCTTCTAATGAAGTTGCTGTTTGAAACTATACAAGAACTGTTGCCATTATTAAAAGAAGTACTGCAAGGTGAAATAATGATCAGGATGTTTTATTTTATTTGTTTTTGTTTATTTATCTTTTCTTGATTGTTTCTGAAATAAAAATGCAAGTTAAAAGTCTAATGTCATTGTTTGTTTTCTCCGAGTCTTTTGAATTCAGGCTTACGTAAAAAAAGATATGTAAATAAATAAATAAAAAATTCTTTTACTTTGTAACTTTAATTGTGTTCGAGAAAACTGGAATATTTTCATTTAAAATGTAAAAGAACTTGAATGTTTCTTCGTTGACTCTTAGTGAAAGAATTCTTATTTTTTTTCTAGACATATATTTTTTTTAAATATAAGTTAAAGATCTTTCGATTAAATTCTGAAAATATACTTTTCTTAAGTTATAGTTTAAAAAAAGCCCTAAATTTTCACGCATCAAAGTTTACTTTTTTAGTGTACAAAATATAAGCTAGTTCTAACTTAATAAAGTTGCTCTGTTATTGCAATTCTGCACTAAAAAAAGCTATCTGTTCAAAAAGACTAGAATATGGTAGACTTCACCGTGTTTCTGCTTTTATGGGAATAAAAAAAAGTTTCATTATTTTCACCAAAGTGGTTTTGTAATGATTTTTGGTGAGGTTGGCAATGAAATATGTTTTTATAATATTTGATAAAAATAGGCAAATATGAGAAAATTTGGTAATTTAATCATGATAAATTTGAGCACGGCATAAAAATCATTTAATCAAAAAAAATTTTGTTTCAGTTATATTTTTTGTTCTAAATGTGCGGTAAAAAGAACTATAATTTTTAAATCAATCTTGCTATCTTTACATTGGAATCTCGATGGATGAACGATTATGTGGATGGAATCTTGCAGAAAAAGATTGGATCACTTTCTAGTTAGCTAGAGCGCTGAAAATTATACTGAAGCTCCATTTTTTGAGTCAATGCATTATTCAACTATTTTCTGGCCACTGCAGAAAGAATTCATATCAATATTGTCATCAAAAAATTTTATAAGCAATGAAAATTTTCTGAGCAGGTCAAGACTAGCTGGAGAACTCAAATTTTGACAGAGAGACTCAATTTTTTCCTCAGGGAACAGAGCGTAACTATTTAAAACTAAAAGTTGCCGATAACTCAACATTATATGGATTGCTAACTCGCAATCAACTCATTTAACTCGCGATCATGCATTCATACAGAAACAGAGCGTAACTTTTGAAAACTAAAAGTGGCTGTTAACCTAGCATTTGAAGAATTGCTATCTCACACTGATATGCATTCATTCAGGAACAGAGAGTAACGTTTGAAAACTGAAAGTGGCTATTAGCCTATCATTTGAAAGACCTTACACTGATATGCATTCATACAGAAGCAGAGCATAACTTTTGAAAACTAGAAGTGGCCGTAACCTAGCATTTGAAGAATTGCTAACTCACACTGATATGCATTCATTCAGGAACAGAGAGCAACGTTTGAAAACTGAAAGTGGCTATTCGCCTATCATTTGAAAGACTGCTGATTTACGCTGATATACATTCATGCAGAAACAGAACGTAACTTTTGAAAACTAAAAGTGGCCGTAACCTAACATTTAAAGAATTGCTAATTGATATGCATTCATTCAGGAACAGAGCGTAACTTTTGAAAACTGAAAGTGGCAGTTAAGCTAACATTTGAAGTATTGCTAACACGCGCTGATATACATTGTTTCAAAAACATCACGGAACTCTCAAAAACTAAAAGCGGCCTTCAAATAATAGGACTAAATTTCGAAATCTTATCGTTCGCTAAATTCAAATAAATTGCAGGACATTGTTTGAATGCTTCGTACCTTACGTCTAAGGAGATGTTAAACTAAATTTTTGCCCAGAGCAATTGAAAGTTCTTGTAGCAATTAATCTAGCCTCCAAAAATAAAGCATACTTTTATATATTGGAATAAACTATGCTTAACTTTTGAACATAGCGTTGTTTCCGGGAAAAATTATAAAGACATCCGCTACGAACAGGGCCGTCTTAATTGCAGGTCTTCCGTGGTACAGAAATGTTTTGGTCCCCTATAATACATTATACTGATTAAGATCGAGCAACCAAAAATTCACATACATGAAATTAATCTGTTTTAAGATATATAGATATAATTTCAAAAAAATTCCAGATGGTAACCATTGGTAATCCTCAATACTTTTTTTCCCATTGCCCACCTGTGCTAACATTTTTTCGTCAACTCAGGCATTTACAGGGCTGATTGGTTGGCCTCTCTTTCAGGGGCACCATATTAGGTGGGCCAAAGTGTAATCCTCAATACTTAAAATTCAAATAATTTTCTAAAACGTAAAAACTATTTTAAATGATTAAATACATAAAAGATTTAACTAGGAATAATGAAAAAGTTAATAAACTATTCTAAACTTACTTTGAGAACTTTTATTGTTTTTTTAGCATTTGTAAAGCATCTTAAGAGACATGAGCTAACATAAAACGTTTTCTTATTAATTTGTTCTACTGAGATATTTTTTTAGGAACGCAATAGGGTGTAAACATTTAAAAATTACACATTTACGTTTATTTAAAGTAAGAAATATTCACTTTAACAATTAAACTCAAAATTAAAAACAAATGTGCAAAAATTTATTTTCTCAAGTTAAAAGTATTTACATAAAAAATAAGGAATGTCATCAATTAATTTAAAAAAAAACTGTTTAGTTTCTATATATGGCTTAAACCGCATTAGTTTAAGTCAGTCAACTCAGCATTAAGCTAATGTACTTAAAATCATGAGACATAAATTATCTATCGCTTTAATTCTGATCTTATTTTTTAGTATTGTAGTTACATAATATATTCAATGCATTATAAAAATGATTACACATTAATCAGAATAGATTTATTCAACTGAATAGAATTCATTCATTATATTTATTCAATTGAATAGAATTCATTCATTATATTTATTCAATATAATATATTTCTTTTAAAATTCATAAAGCAATGCATTTCTTCTTCCTTTTTAAAATGCAGTCTTAAGTTTAAAGATAAATTCTAAATAAATCTTAAATTTAAAAAATAAATAATTCTTTTGAAAATAAATTTCAAGTCGGATTTTTCAGGGCTCCGCACGGCTCGGCGGGCACTGCCCTTGATATGCCCTCGGTAAAGACGATTCTGGTTACGAAAAAATTCCGGATTTTTAATTTAAATGTATATCGTATCGGGAGTTAATGTTTGCTTCGAATGAATTTAATGATTACATTAAATTGAAATTAACATTCTTTCAAATTTTTTTCCTGCTAATTTCGGAATATTTTGCATCAGTTATGGTGCAAAGTGTATGAAAAATAAGATGCAATCCCTTTTTTGTTTCCTCCAGGATCACGTAGAGATGACAATGATGACTATGGCAGGTCCCGGTTACAGGGGTCTGTTAACCAGTGCCTTGGATTCTGTGGTGGAGAGGTGTCAAGACTTCACCGATTCCGCTTACACATCCCATGAGCATAGGGAGCGTATCATCTTGCTCTGCGACAGACTCAAAATGGAGCTGCACCAGCTGCTCAGAGTGGGAGTACAGCTCGTAAGTACAGCAGCTCAGGAATACATATGTATAGTTTGTCGAAAATAAGAACTCCCACAGACATTCATCTGGACTTGTGGCCGTGACTATGGTAACGAGGTATGACTATTTCAAGTAGGGGTTCGGGGTCACTGATTGGAATCGTTTCGGGTTGGATTGGCAAGAGAAAAGGAATCTTTCTTCGGTCTATTGTGTTAGTCCTACAGTGAAGCTATCCTCCCAAAAAGGCGCCATACTTGTTTCCATAGAACCAGACTGCTTCAGACTTTGTGACGAGAGGAGTTCTTAGTTTAGGCAAACTATACTGGGTGTTCTCCAATGACCACCCGTAAAAATTCCTAGTCAAAACATAACACTTGGGCATCGCATTTCTTACTTAGAGGAGGGAAACAAGAACACAATTGTAATCCAACAAATTACCAACAATCAGGTTACAGAGAGGGTGTGGATAGAGGAGGATTATTAGAAATCTTTTCAAGTTCCAACCGATAATCATACAGGTTTTATATACGCGCCTTTCATACTTATGATTCGGGACACATTTTTTCAATTTGTTTTTGACCACCTACGTGCATCGATATTTTCGTCTTTAATGAGAAGGAATTTAAAAAAAAAATACTTGAGCAGTTATTATAAAACAGTCAGTTTTAAGATTTTTATGTTCAAAAATTGCATACAATTGTATGTATTACTTGTATACAAAAAGAACTCTTTCGATTTAAAAATATGTTTTCGTCGACTGCTAGTAATTTTTTTCCATGGAACTGTTTTCATGTTTTGTGGTTTTAATAAGAGAAGAAAAATTCCTCTCTGCATCCTAAGTACATTAACTCTAACTGGATAAAGAGTATTTACATAACATGTTGATTCGACAAACATTCCTTTATCTTTTTTTCATTTAACAGAAGTTAAAAATCCCTAAAATGTAAATATTTTTTTTAAATAAATTGAAAAACTTTAATTTTTTTAATTAATTGAAATATTTCTCTCAAAAATATTAATGTGCAACAACATATGTCTAATAAGTAATTACATGATATTTGATTCATATGAAATTCTCGTTTTTCATCATGCTATTACAGTCAGAGTTATAAGTGTAATAGTCATTTGTCGTAGTTTGCTTATTTTATACACAGAATGATTTTGTACACGTGCACTTATTAACTACAATTGCTTTTGGTTTGGCTTTTTTGCTTGGGAAGCTTACGAGTCATAAGGAGGGAAGATAATTTTACTAAACAATTATTAAAATATAAAATAAAATAAAAAGGCTTTTTTCATTCACAGATTAATGAATTTGCAATAGAAAATTAAAAAGAAAATGAGATGCAGCAAGAAAATAAGTCTTTTCAAGATCAATACATTTAAAATAGTGTAAATTTGTAGCATATTTTGAGCCGGCACGTTATAGTTAAATATTGTAAATTGTTTTTTTGTTTTATTTTAAAAACGTGCAAATATAATTTCGATCCTAAATCATTTACTTGTCAGTATGAATTATGACTGGTGTTTCAACTGAGCTATGATTGTTACAATCAGAAACCGTTTAGCAACTGTAGTTTTAAATTACATTTTTCTAATTAATCTAAAAACACTGCTTGAAGTAAAATTGGCATAAATCTTAAAAAATGAGCTACGATTTGAAAAATTAATTTCAAAAAAAGCAATAAAGTCAAGTAATACAAGTTAAACCGCTTTCTGCTTTGGAAACTAGATTATTTATTCTCATCAAGAGTCCAGAGGCTTTACTAAGTTCGACAATAGATGGCGATCCTGGCTGAAAAAATTATAAAACAATAAGTTCTCTGCAACAAAGTGCATTTTAATACAAATATTACCAAGGCGGTTCTATTAAACTGGTCTTCAGATGATGACATCATGATTGACGAGACGATTCCTTGGCGAGATTTGTAATTAACATTGAATATTGAGTTAAAATGATCTTATTTCAAAATCAATTATTTTCTAATCAATCATCCCTATCTCCTTCCATTTCATTGCAATTATATTTTTAAATCACCGGTTAATTTTCTTCAATGTTCAGCATATTCATTATTTGAAATTATTATTATTAGGAGCAGATAGGCCAAATTTCTCCTAATGAAGAAATGGAAGCAGCCGTACATGAGACACTTAGAGCAGCAAGAGACTTGAAACTGCAAGTAAGTTCACATAAATCTAATTGGATGTGTAATTGAATGAGTAAGGTATGTAGCAGTTTTACTTTATAACAGGCGTTGAACAGCCCATCCAATTCTTAGTTTACGACGACCAAGGTTTAACTCCGTAACCCTTGTAATTTTGTACCCAATTCAGATGGCAAAGGAACTACTGGATCAAATATTGGGAGAAATTTGCCAAGGAGGGCTTTTAAGGATGTTTAATGGAACTAACCCACATTTCGTTACATGCAGGAGTAAACCGTGATTAGCCTAACGGCTAGGGGACTTTAAATCATGATCCGTCCACCACTGAGAATATTTTACGCCAGTACTGTGGTCCAGTTTTGATACAGTTTTTAAGCCATTCATTTAGTAATTTTTTCGTTGATACGGCAACGGTTTATCGGATATTCTGGTTTTCAAAATTACAGCTCTTAGTTTAATAAATTTGGTGAAAAATATGAAACTTAAAAGGAAATTTAAAGATTGAATGGATTTTAGGTAATGCTCTAAGCATCAGGAAAACGTTACCAAATTTTACCACATTTTTAAAATTTTATCATAGATTATAAAACCATAATTTATTGTTAATTTTACCAAAATATTTATCAAACCAGTTTGGTACCGAGCTTTTTGGAGTTAACACAGTGCCAGAAACATGGCAAGATTCCATTAATTTTGGCCATTTTTCTCTGTGCAGGCAAGGTTCTTTCAATTTGCAAACTAAGATTCTTTCACTTCCGATGAACAAATCAGTTTTTCACTCCAGAAAAACAAAATTACGTTAGCAAGGAGCTTTCAGACAATTATGTCCATATCAGTGACAGAAGTTATATAATTAATTTTTTCACCAGTTTCCTTATGAAAATTACTTTAAAAGTCAGTAAAACTATTCTATGAAATAGAATTGCACTAGAATTATGCATACATAGATTTAATGTTGATATAGATAAAGACTGCAATAGAACATTAAAATGCACGCGATTTCTTAAATATATTTCCTGTTTTAAAATATCTAATAATTTCTTTCAATATTCAATCTCTTACCTTTGTTGCTTATATTTGTCAAAAATTCTTTGCTTTTCGTATTGGAATCAAAATTCATTCCTGTTGCTCAAATTATGTTGGGACGAATGTCAACGCCATCACATTTTTGTGCCTTTGGTTGATAAATATGATTTTTTGTCCCTTCTTTTTGAGAGATATAGCCAAAACTCCGAAATTCTTCAAATGTTTGCTATATTTTTACAATATCGGCATCGTATTCTTATATATTAAACTAATAAATAATGCATTTTTCTATTCTTTCTTGAATTCTTTTGTGCTCTATTTTTAACAAACGATTTTTGATTCCTTTTTTTCGACTTTTTCAAACGATAGTTTATAGAAAATATTTCATATTTGAAAATAAAAATGTTTCTTTGTTTTATGCTGGTTTGGTATTTTTAAGATGTTTATTGTTTTATCATGTAAATAATTTTATATCTAAATATTTTATCAGTAAAATATACATTATAATTCGAAGTTTTAGTTTAATGGGGAACATCTCTCTATCTCTCTATCTATCTCTCTTTCTCTCGAATAGTAATACCCTAAACTTTTCGAATTCAATAAAGGTTGCAATGTTTAATCCTGATAGCATTCAAGGACGACATAAAGAAATTCTGCGGACCAAAGATTGAGTTTATCTATGGAAGATCAAATTCTCAACTAAGTAACTAAACTTAGTTTAAATTGTAATCAAAAAATTTATATATTATTCCTAAAATGGAGATAAATTTAAAAAAAAATAAAGCCTGGATGTCTAATAATTTGACTTTTCCCCTAATAATTGGAATCCTAATAATTGGATCATCCAGTTATACTGATGTGCAATTGAAAAATCATCGTAAACAGCAAAAACTTCAAACTTGAAATTTTCATATAATTGGCATCTTTTTGTGGTAAAATTTTTAAAAAAATTTATCACATTGCCGACCGGCCTGTGTAGGAGTCAGGGAACTGGCCCTGCATCAGAAAGGTTCTGGGTTTGAATCCCGGGCAAGACATGGATGTTCTTCAATTCTCTATACTATCTGTCTTTACTGTGGGAGCAACGTTGGTCCACCTAATATGGTGCCCCTGAAAATGTGGCCAACAAATTAGCTCAGATGCCTGTATAACGAAAGGTCATTCATTCCCCAGGCGGGCATTGGGAAAAATCTGAATCTTTGGGAATTTTCTGAAATTCTATTTTAGTGTTCGTAGCATTAGAAATAGAAGGAAAATAGTTGTCAAGCTGCTTTTCTTGGAATGAATCGTGAAGCACTTATATATTTTTTTTCCAATTGCACGGCAGTATACACCTTGCTCGTTAGTATCATGAACCCAGTGATCAGAACTGAATGAATCTAATTTATGTTTACTAGAAAATGAATAATTAGAATTTAATAAACGTCATGAATCCAATAATTTATTAAAAAATTAACAACGCAGTTTATCTAAGCAATAAACAGGCTAATCAATAATCAATCTAATGAATAACTAAGGAATCCAATTATGATAAATACCTAATAAACTCTATGAATGATTAGGTTTTATTGAACATAATTACTTATTAGAACCTTATGACCCTATTCAATGATTAGATTAAAAAAATGTTTTTCGTTTCTGCTTTCAGTAGGTGAAGATTTTTTAACAGATCTTGAATACATTAATGCGAATTGGAGATTGAATGCACTAAGGCGACTGAATGCATCAAGGCCTATTACTGATTTCAAATCTGAAATCAGTTTCACTCTTCAATCTGCAGTTTTTCTAATTATATTTTTTGTAGCTGTGGTGTCTTAGGGTACAGAGCGTTTGCCTTCCAATGAGGTGAATTGGGTTCGAATCCCAGCGATGGCTGATCGTTTAGAACTCAGCACCCGGCTCGCACCGACCACAGTGCTGACGTAAAATATCCTCAGTGGTAGACAGATCATGAGTTAGAATCCCCTTTTTGTCAAGGTGTCTTTTCACTGTTGGAACACAAATTCGGGTTAGTTACATCAAAAAGTCCTCAAAGAAGGCAAATTTCTCCCAATACTTTATCCTGGAGTTTCCTTGTATTCTGGATTAGATTCAAAATCACAAGGCTTCGGAATTGAGCATTAACTGTCGTGAACCCAAAAATTTGTGTCGGCTGTTAGACGAATATCATTTTTAGTCTATCTTTTGTCGAAATGAGTTACTGTTACGAAAATGCCAGCTGTTTCTTCGTGTGCTTCTGAATAGGTCATAGTTTGGAAGCTCCTCTAAACTCTAAATATGGGTTATTATGCAATTTTAATCCTGATGATGTTCCTCTAAAAGTTTATCTCTACATTTACGTGACCTCCTGTTATCTATAATATTTTTAAGCTTTTATTTCGGCAAAAAATAGACTAAAAATGTCATTCAAGAAACATCTGTATCTTTAGGACTAAAACTAATATCAGATCTAAAATCCCCACTCCCGAATTATGTAAAATGAAGTATTTATATAAATGCAACAAATTTTGTTTTCTCTAGTATTAGCATTTATTGTCCCCTGGATCAATTAAAAATATTGTAAAGACCAAGTATTGTAAAATTCATAAAAATAAACCGGATGAACAGAGCGGCTGATATTTTTAGAATGGATGATGATTCCACATTAAAAAACAATATACTTCACAAACTGGTGACAAGCAGGAAAAGGGGTAGACACAAACAGAGATCGATGCAGTTAGTATAGACTGATTTCCTTGCTATCCAGCAAAGAAACTGATACATAAGTGTCAAAAATAGAATGAAGTGCAGAAAAATATAGAAAAAGGCACTGGCTCACCCTGGGCTGTCCAGTCAAATATGATGATGATAGAACAAATTTAGAGTTAATGAACCTTATTAATGATTTTAATCTTATGAATACCTAGATTAGTGAACTGAGATATTACTAAGGACTGAGATAACATCTAACAAAATATAGATCTGGTGAAGTACACTCTATAACAAAAAAATCGACGCACCAAGAACGCACTAAGACGCGTAAAATCGAAGCTCGATCAGGATGGAATGATGCCGACAGGGGACGTATAGTCCTTAGCGACTAATCCCGCTTTCAACTGTGTCCTGACGATCATCGAAGACGTGTTTGGAGACGCACAGGGCAGAGGGGGGATCCTGCCTTCACTATTGCAGGCCACACCGGCCCTCAATAAGGCATTACGGTCTGGGGTGCCATTTCCTTTGACAGCCGGACCCCTTTGGTCGTCATTAGAGGTACACTTACTGCACAGCGGTACGTCGACGACATCCTAAGACCTGTTTTGCTACCGTTCCTTTTGCAGCACCCTGGGCTGGTTTTTCAGCAGGACAATGCCAGACCACATACGGCACGTGTTGCTATGAACTGTCTGCAAGCTTGTCAAACTCTTCCTTGGCCTGCCAGATCACCAGATCTCTCTCCCATCGAGCATGTCTGGGATATGATGGGAAGGCGATTGCATCTGGCACGGAATGTTGATGACCTCGTTCGACAATTGGATCGAATTTGGCAGGAAATACCGCAAGAGACCATCCGGGAGCTTTATCGGTCTATGCCACGCCGTGTGGCAGCTTGTATCCAGGCTAGAGGCGGGTCAACACCTTATTGAACTTGTTACTGTAACTCTGCAATAAATTATTCAATTGTTCTGAAATTTTAATCATTTACTATTCTGTACATTGTCTTCCTATCCACCAATTTTCGTTTCAATCAGACAACTCCTTCTTTGTGCGTCGATTTTTTGTTATAGAGTGTATTTAGGTGTTTAACACTACATCAATGAAATTCAAAGAACTCAGAGATCTACATACAATAAGTGTTAAGAATTTAAGAGTTTGCTTAACTTTTTTAATTTACTCTATAATATTTATACCAATTTCTTTCTTAAGTATAATGTTTACAACTGTTGTGTGATCTTCTATTTTTCATTTTTCTAGCTCTTATTTTATTTTTGTGAATTTAATTCTGTTGA